GCAGTTTTCTTTGAAGAATCTCTGGGCTGCCAAGGATCGTGCAATTCAATGCCTTGTGGTAGGGAAAAGAAGCACAAGCACAGGTTCCTAATCCTGAGGGTGGCTTGTAAAACCAGCTCTCAGGCTCTTGTGAGGGTGAATCAATTAGCATGCATGTTCTTAGCATGGTGCCAGGTACAGAGCAGGCCCTGAATGTTTGCTGCATCTGAATCTAATTTGGGAATGCCTCTCCCATACGATTATAAACTCCCCAAAGGTAGGAACCATTTTATTAGTCTTTTTTAAAACCTCTTTGGTACATGTGCAAAAATCTTTGTGACTTGAATGGAATTTCTGCCTCCCTTGAAGCAATTAAGAGCTGAGGGAAAATTAGCTGGGGCTATATATTCATTTGTTCAGTCATTCACTCAGCAAAGGTTTATTTGATGGTCTACTTGGTGTGAAGCACAGAGGCCTTGTCTAACTTCCTTACCAGGTTATATCCCCTCTCCACATTATATTCTATTAACACGCACTACATTTTCCTTTGTAGCATGTAATGCAGCTGTGAAAAAATAGCTGTTTGCATAACTAGTTGTCTCTCTCCTGCACCAGACAGAAAGCTCCAGGAAGGAGGTGCAACCCTCTTGTTCAATGTTGCAGCCTTAGCAACTAAAGCAGTATCTAGAACAAAACAGGTGTTTAATAAATATGGTTAAGTGAATAAATGAATGTATGAAGTAAAATGAGATATGTCCTTGCCTTTAGGAAACTCACAGTTTACAGCAATGTTTGTCAACAGGGGTGTTATTTGCAGGACAGCTTCTTATTTTGTAAGGTTCTAAGTACTGGGGAATGTTTAGCATCCCTTGGTGCTGGCCACTGCCCAGTGAATGCCAGCAGTGTGCCCTCTCATACACTGAGACAACCACAACATCCTCCACAATTCCAAATGCCCCAAGGGGGGCTCTCCCACCTCTGCTTCCGAATCATTCGGAACCATCCAAGTATGGTATGGACTTGAATCAAAGTGGCAGCAAGAACAGCAAGAAGGGGATGGATCCAGAAATGATGAAGTAAAAAATGATGGGAAGCGGGACGAGGGGGTGTGGAGAAGAAAGAGGGGAAGCAGTCTGACAGGAAGGAAAGCATGGCTTAGAACAGGGTGTTCATTTGAGTTCCCCAAGCCCTAGGATTCTCTTGAGCCCCTTCAGCCACCCACCTCTACCCTACAATTCTCCAGAGTAGAGAGGGCATAAATTGGCTGGGCAGGCTTCTTGAGTGCTACTCATGATTAGGTCAGTGAAACTGGTTTTTCTGTTTGATATTTTGGATTTTCCAGTAAAATTTTTGTTTAAAGAAAGGTTTTTGAGGCTAAAGGAGCTGAAATCCATGGTCTTAGAGCTGAGGATGATGGTGCCAGCTGGGATGAGGGAAGGCCTTTTGGGACACATGGTGGGAGACTTTAAGAGCCAAGAGAAAGTTTTGATAAGGACACAGTGTGACAAAATATGAAATGGGTTGAAGGCATTTGCAGCATTGAGGAAGGGGAAGTGAAGGAGAAGAATCCTTGGGAAAGGAAATAAATAAAAGTGCACTTGGAGGCCGCTGTTAGCTGGTGTGAGGGGGTAGAACTGGGAAGCTGGTCTGATGGGCACCTCAGCTTTGGAAAGTGCCCAGGAAACACACAGACATGCAAAGTTTAACACTCTCGTCGAGACCCACTCATAGGTGGAGGCTGGCCAGGCCAGTGAGTCAGTCGACATCGCAGCTGGCCGGCACTGGCTGTGGGGTGGCGAGCGGCTTCATTTCCTGCAGGAGAGCATAAACGTGTGTGTGGTGATTTCAGAACCAAGTGCAAGCCATTCCTTATTTCTATCTGGTGTAGGAGACAAATAATTATGCAAACAGCTATTTTTATCACAGCTGCATAACATGCTACAAAGGAAAATGCAGTGTGTGTTAATAGAATATAATATGAAGAGGGGGCATTGGGAAACTCAAATGAACACCACCTTAGGCCTCAGGTAACTCAAATGAACACCAATCCTTAGGGCTTGGGGAACTCAAAATACCGCGATTCTAAAAAGATTTTCCTGTGATTGGGGCTGTGGCATAGGCTTCTTTGTATGCCCCCTAGCAATTAGTAGAGCTCCTGCCTAGAAGAGGAGCTCAGTATATGCTTTCTGAATTGATCTGAGCAAATATTTCAGAGTCTTCACCCTCAGTGTATGCTTTCAGCTGAGATGGAGAGTGCCTCACTGGCTGAATGGAGGCCTCAAAGCGCTAATGGAGCAGTGGTGTTCTCCTAGGGATGCATCTTTCAGCTAAAGAGTGTAAGGTTCAGAATGGGTTGAAAGGATGGGCTGAATGAATGAATGCAAGCATAGGCATGAGGTCGGTGCTTCTGACAACCTCTGTCCTATTGCATTAGAAAGAAAGGGGCTGTCTCTGTCTGGCATAGAAACAGTAGTTTCTGTTTGTCATTGATCAAAGGTCCTTTAATATGTGGACTCAGTTGTGACAGACTGAGCCGATCACTAAAATGCCCTTTAATTTTACCTTATGCAGAAGGGAAATGGAGTCACCTGGCTTACAAATAAAGTAAAATAGGGAAAAGACAAACACCGCAGTGTCACCCTTCAGGGTCTCTCCTTTGGCCTGGGGTGAAGGCCAGGACTTTTGTAATGAGCCTCTTCCCCCTGGCCCGGGTGTGGGGGCCTGTGAGCTCCGTGGCCCAGCAGCCTGCAGGGCATGGGCACCACGCCCCTACTCACGGCTTCCGCAGAGTCATCCTCAAGTGGGCGTCAGGGCCCATCTGCAACAGCAGCAGCATTGTGTCCTGGAGCTCCTCATCCCACTCCTTCTTCTCCTCTTCAGTAGGCAAAGGGGCATCCTCAAGCTCGTCGTCCAGAAATCGATAAAATAAATATTTGTCTTGGAAATAGTGTTCCTGGTCCACTACGGGAAACATGGAGGCAAGTATCAGCTGTTGCACGTCTGCCTTACAGCCCTGTCAACCAGAAGCAAATGGACGGTGTCCCATGAGAGAGCCAAGTAGCGGCCAGGCAGCATGCCTCCTCAGCCTGCTGCCTGCCTCACCCCAGGCTGGGTGGCGGAAGCCAGGCCCTTGGCCGCAGTCCTGTCCTCCCAGCTCTCTGACCCGCCCATCTCCTGGGCGGCCTCGGGACTCTCTGCACTGGATGCTGACTTAGGAGAACCTGCCAACTTCTCTGACATGAGACCTCTTGACCAGCAAAAATTGCCTTGGTGACATTTTCTAGCGGGACATAAATCCCAGACAGGAAAACAACCAACTGCCAGATCATGCTCTGTAAATGGTTTTTGAAAGTACAGACTTAAAAAAACCCTACTTTGTAAAGGTCAGAATTCATGTTTTTCCTTCTAAATGTACTGTTTATAAACAGGTTTGCACTTTTTAAAAGTTAGAATAAAATTAATTGAACAAAACTGATTAGATCAATCTTGTAGGTCATATAAGCCTAGAAGGATCTTACGGTAATTTCCTTCTGGTTCTGATTTTTTAAAGTTTTTTTTCTCTTGTTCTTTTTAAATAAAAAGATTTAGATCTCAGTAGGACAAAGTCAGTGGACTAGGCTCAGAATCCCTCCTCTGTGTGTCTTCAAGATTTTAAGCCCCTTTTCAAGATGGTTGAGGGAAGGCCTTTTGGGACACATGGTGGGAGACTTTAAGAGCCAAGAGAAAGTTTTGATAAGGACACAGTGTGACAAAATATGAAATGGGTTGAAGGCATTTGCAGCATTGAGGAAGGGGAAGTGAAGGAGAAGAATCCTTGGGAAAGGAAATAAATAAAAGTGCACTTGGAGGCCGCTGTTAGCTGGTGTGAGGGGGTAGAACTGGGAAGCTGGTCTGATGGGCACCTCAGCTTTGGAAAGTGCCCAGGAAACACACAGACATGCAAAGTTTAACACTCTCGTCGAGACCCACTCATAGGTGGAGGCTGGCCAGGCCAGTGAGTCAGTCGACATCGCAGCTGGCCGGCACTGGCTGTGGGGTGGCGAGCGGCTTCATTTCCTGCAGGAGAGCATAAACGTGTGTGTGGTGATTTCAGAACCAAGTGCAAGCCATTCCTTATTTCTATCTGGTGTAGGAGACAAATAATTATGCAAACAGCTATTTTTATCACAGCTGCATAACATGCTACAAAGGAAAATGCAGTGTGTGTTAATAGAATATAATATGAAGAGGGGGCATTGGGAAACTCAAATGAACACCACCTTAGGCCTCAGGTAACTCAAATGAACACCAATCCTTAGGGCTTGGGGAACTCAAAATACCGCGATTCTAAAAAGATTTTCCTGTGATTGGGGCTGTGGCATAGGCTTCTTTGTATGCCCCCTAGCAATTAGTAGAGCTCCTGCCTAGAAGAGGAGCTCAGTATATGCTTTCTGAATTGATCTGAGCAAATATTTCAGAGTCTTCACCCTCAGTGTATGCTTTCAGCTGAGATGGAGAGTGCCTCACTGGCTGAATGGAGGCCTCAAAGCGCTAATGGAGCAGTGGTGTTCTCCTAGGGATGCATCTTTCAGCTAAAGAGTGTAAGGTTCAGAATGGGTTGAAAGGATGGGCTGAATGAATGAATGCAAGCATAGGCATGAGGTCGGTGCTTCTGACAACCTCTGTCCTATTGCATTAGAAAGAAAGGGGCTGTCTCTGTCTGGCATAGAAACAGTAGTTTCTGTTTGTCATTGATCAAAGGTCCTTTAATATGTGGACTCAGTTGTGACAGACTGAGCCGATCACTAAAATGCCCTTTAATTTTACCTTATGCAGAAGGGAAATGGAGTCACCTGGCTTACAAATAAAGTAAAATAGGGAAAAGACAAACACCGCAGTGTCACCCTTCAGGGTCTCTCCTTTGGCCTGGGGTGAAGGCCAGGACTTTTGTAATGAGCCTCTTCCCCCTGGCCCGGGTGTGGGGGCCTGTGAGCTCCGTGGCCCAGCAGCCTGCAGGGCATGGGCACCACGCCCCTACTCACGGCTTCCGCAGAGTCATCCTCAAGTGGGCGTCAGGGCCCATCTGCAACAGCAGCAGCATTGTGTCCTGGAGCTCCTCATCCCACTCCTTCTTCTCCTCTTCAGTAGGCAAAGGGGCATCCTCAAGCTCGTCGTCCAGAAATCGATAAAATAAATATTTGTCTTGGAAATAGTGTTCCTGGTCCACTACGGGAAACATGGAGGCAAGTATCAGCTGTTGCACGTCTGCCTTACAGCCCTGTCAACCAGAAGCAAATGGACGGTGTCCCATGAGAGAGCCAAGTAGCGGCCAGGCAGCATGCCTCCTCAGCCTGCTGCCTGCCTCACCCCAGGCTGGGTGGCGGAAGCCAGGCCCTTGGCCGCAGTCCTGTCCTCCCAGCTCTCTGACCCGCCCATCTCCTGGGCGGCCTCGGGACTCTCTGCACTGGATGCTGACTTAGGAGAACCTGCCAACTTCTCTGACATGAGACCTCTTGACCAGCAAAAATTGCCTTGGTGACATTTTCTAGCGGGACATAAATCCCAGACAGGAAAACAACCAACTGCCAGATCATGCTCTGTAAATGGTTTTTGAAAGTACAGACTTAAAAAAACCCTACTTTGTAAAGGTCAGAATTCATGTTTTTCCTTCTAAATGTACTGTTTATAAACAGGTTTGCACTTTTTAAAAGTTAGAATAAAATTAATTGAACAAAACTGATTAGATCAATCTTGTAGGTCATATAAGCCTAGAAGGATCTTATGGTAATTTCCTTCTGGTTCTGATTTTTTAAAGTTTTTTTTCTCTTGTTCTTTTTAAATAAAAAGATTTAGATCTCAGTAGGACAAAGTCAGTGGACTAGGCTCAGAATCCCTCCTCTGTGTGTCTTCAAGATTTTAAGCCCCTTTTCAAGATGGAGCATCAATACTGTCAAAAGATAAGGAGAAGCGGTAGATCCTTGCTGCTCAGAAGGGATCCCGAACAGCACAGCATCTGGAAGCTTGTGGGAAATGCGGAGCCTCAGGACCCATCCTAAACCTGCTGAACCAGATTCTGCATTTTAAGGAGAGTCCCAGGTGATTTCTATGCACATTAAAGTCTGAGAAACGCTGGCAGAACCATTATTAGATTCACAGGTATTAGTAAGTTAAATGAATGATTTTAATAATTTGTTGGTTTGGAAAAGTGGACTTAAAACAAATGGCATGAGTAGTTTAACCACAGCTACACTCTGGTCCTGAATAGCTACTCAACTCAATTAATGCCCCTGCGGATATCAGGAGCTGCAATTACAGAGCACATTCCTGATTTAAAATATGGTCATCCTGTGGGTATACTAATTGGCTCCCCCAGAAAGCACAATTGTTAAAAGGCAGCTTCTGAATTCATTACTTTCTTTCATGTCATCAGCCCAGCCATACATTTCATTGCTCTTCATTCTGCCCTTGCATCAGGATCCCTACGCAATGCTCAGAGTATAATCACACTGTCAATGAACCGTGAATGCAAACTAATAAACATAATTGGAACTGATGCACTTGGGTTGCAATTTCATTTTCTCTTCATACATTCTCCCAAGTTAGGAAGGTGCAATGGTGGAACACAGCAATCACTAGCACCACATGCTGCCTTTGTACTGCTACAGAAGATCTCTTAAGGGATCATAACTTTTTCTTGCGTATTTGGGAGCTCAGCAACAACTTACACAGGGAAATGCACTTAGCATTTCTTGAAGGTTTCCCAGGGACTGTGGCTCATCTTACCATGGTTGAGAACACTGTCTTCTACCAGCACTTGCCACATGCCCACAGCTTGCGTTCGGGAGTGAACACATGGAGTCTGCTGCAGCATCCAGTCCACCAGCTCGGTTCCCACACAGCACTGTCTACAGAGGGGCAGGACACAGAGGATGGGGGTCACCCCCATGCAGATGAAGGATGGGAGATGGTTTTTGAGAGGCCCTCCCAAAGAGATGAATGCTCTTCTGTTGTAAGAGATCTCACTGCAAACGATGTACCATGGTGTGGCCTCAGGTTCTCAAACTTTCATACGAACCAGTAAGGGCACTCAGTCATGAGGCACCTGCTAAGCGAGGCTGGTTCAGTGAGCCTGCAGCACCAGGGGAGACTGAGTGGCCGCTAAGCAGGGAGCATTATTTGGCAAGCTGATCCTAGGGACTGAAACTCTCCCATCTCGAGCTGGTCCCAGAAAATCTTAGGATAAAGTGAAGGCAAAGCAAAATTTTGACTTCCTTCACCTGAGCCTTGTGAGGAATAAGTTAATGTTTGTGACGCACTCAGAGGTGCTCCAGAAAGGCGCTGTGTAAGTACAAAATTATATAGCACTTTATGTTTACAAGTAATACTACTGACCTTCCTCAGAGGGGTGTTGGGAGAAACAAACAATTAGCGATGCAAATCTCTGAAAAAGTTCCATGTAGTGAGCATCAGCACATCTACAGAGCCTGTCGGAGGAGGAGCTCCAAGTGCTTTTTGTACATCACACTTCGTCCCTAAGATGTCCCTCTGTGGTGAGATGGTTGGAGTGAGCCAAGTACATGTATTAATTCGGAAACATGTAATTCTACACACACATACACACACACACACACACACACACACACATTAGGAAATATTGAAACCTTGGGTGGCATGAGACAGAAGGGCAGGTGTTCCTGGAATGATGGTTCAAGGGAGGAAATGGAATAGTGAAGTCCTAGGGATGAACCCCAAGGGGCAGTGCACAGAGTCACAGGCAGCTGAGTCTGAGTCACCGGTGGCCTCCCATTCCATGCTAAGGATCGCGCCATCTCTCAGGTTAAATTCAGAGAGCTCCTCTCTAGTTCAAACTGGAGATTTCTGGTGCTATGTACCTTTAGGAAAGGGCTTAGCCTGGAAGGAGTCATGAAGTACAGCACAGGGCTGCTACTTAGGAGCAATGTGACTTTGGCCATATTGTTTCCACTCTCTGGTTCTCAGTTTTCTCATT